CCTGTTGGCTCCGCAGCTCTGGCAACATTCTCCCTTATAGAGAATTCGTAGGAGTCGGAGCGCACGGGTGAGATCGAGGCTGCAGCGCAGAATCGCGAGGCTCCAGCCGCCGGCCTGGTGTCCCGCAGAACCTGCAAGGCACAGGCGGAGTTTGACCGTCCAAGGAAGCCAGTTGCGAATTGTCCTCCTTGGCCTGCAGGCTTGTCGCTCCTGGTAGGTTCGGTCCAGGCAGTGACACCAGCCACCTTCCCACGCTAGCCCCCAACTCCTTCCTACTTCTTCAGCTCTCCCACCCCAGNCTATCCTTACCAACCACAGCCTTGCCCCCTATCAGTCTTTACTTTGACCCCTAGCACAACACACCACCCACCATCCCCCCCCACACACACACACACTCTCCTCCACACACAGCACTCCCCATGCGCTTTGGACCACTGCAAGAACCCAGCAGGGGCTGTCCAACAACGCTTCTACCCCAAGTGGGGCGTCCCAGTTCAGTGCAGGGCCGATACGTTATATTAATTAGTGTAGAGTGAAAAAGGAGAGAAAGAGAGCAGGGCAGAGGCCCCAGCCGCCCCGTGGAGCATGCCAGCGACTGGATCTATGACATTTTTGGTCTTTCTGGAGGGAATTCGACCAGGAAGAAGCCTTAAATGAGTCGGCGAGCACAGGCGGCCACAGATCAGATTGCAGTCACTCGGTTCACTTCCAATTAAATAGTTTAAGTGAAAAAAAAATCAGGTCTAACTTTTTATCTCTGAGCAGCACGGGCCTCGAGAATTTCCATTTCTAAAGACCAATTCCTGCTGTGGTTCATTAGCATTTGGGGCTGGGCCCCGCGCCTCGCCCTCCCTCCCCCCCCTCCTATCTCTGCCGGGGGCAGAAAAGAAAGCAGCGAATTATTACAAAAACATCCCCAGTTTGGAGCAGGAGCCTAGGCTGGGAATACACTCGATGTTGACATCAATTAAGTATCTAACTAGACAAGTGCACGTGGCTTTGGAGGGTCTCCCCGTCTCCCAGGGTGCCTCTCCAGAAACACCGCCTGCTCCCTCTCTGCTCAGTGCTGATTCTAAAGACAGCCTCTTCCTGAGTGTGTTTTTCCCCCAGCAATTACACTACTCCACTGAAATCTAAATTTTCCATACTGCTGCCTGCTACTAATAAAAACCGTCTACCTTGCACTATTAAACAGTCGAATCGCACTACATGCCGTTTTTATTGGTAGTGACTGTAGCAAATTAAAATGCCTACGCAGAGACATTAAAACTCACGGTCTGCATTGTTACTGGAATATATAACTCCGTTTCGATTTAAAGCTCCCTGATTTTGTAAAATCACTTTTCCCTTTCTTAGATTAAAGTTGGCTTGGCCTTCTTTCTGAAACATCATTCGAAAAGACATGCGGCCAGTGCCGAGGCCCGACGCAGTGGCTCCTCGCGCGGCCACCTGTGAGGGTGGCCTGGTCTCGCTCGAACCGCGCGTCGGGTCACTGCGGGGAGCATCGCTCCCGGGGAGTAGGAGCCTGGACGCCTCGCTTATGGGCTCCGAGGGGTGTCAGGGCGGGCGGAGAGCCTGGGAGGGTCTGGTACTTGGCTTCTGCTTCTTTACAGTTGCCTTCGGAGATGGAATGGGAAAAAATGGACAGGCACTAAAGGCAAACCGAGGGACTGCCTGGACAGCGCGAGCACTTGCAGCAANCCAGCCACCCTTCTTAGCCCAGCCCCGCCGACAGCTTACAGGGTGATGGGGGGCGCGGGATGGGGGCACCGCGGCCCGGGTCCTCCTGGGGGTGGCGTGCGCGGCTCTCGCTTCCACCTTCCCGGGTCTCCTCCGCCTCACTGTGGGAGGCGCCCCGCTTGGCCTCGCGTCTGGTCGCCTGCCCCGCGCCGCCAAGCATGTCCCCGCGGGACCCGGATCCGGGGCGCCTTCGCCGCGAACTGCCGGGAAACCTAGAGGTGAGCCTTCTGCCCCGAAGCCCGTGACGGAGCCCAGGGTCCCTGGGTGTTAGCACGTCCCGAGGTCGGGAACGTTTGAGCACATGCTGCCAGTGCTTCATCCTCAAAAGGGTTTTATTTTGTCTTAATAACTTCGGTTTCCTTTCGCATTTGTGTTGTAAGACACTGAGGGGAGTGACTGTCACTGGACGGACAGACCGCCTCTGACGCGCGTGGAGCCCTGCCGGCCCCCAGGAAGGAGGGAGAAAGCTAAGGACTGGCGGCTCGGGAGCAGTCGGCAGTGCAGGGAGCTCAGGTAACGCGCGGCTCGGAGGCGCCTTCCGGAGCTTAGAGGACAGATGCTTAGCTACGGAGCCCGGGACCCCAGCCCCCGAAAACCCCCGTTCCCCATCCCTCCCCCGCCGGGTGCCGCAGAGCAGGAGGCCGGGAATCACCGAAGGGGCACTCTCAGGGGCTCCGCAGGCCTGAATGGCGGCGCCCACCCAACAGGTGCCTCTTCCTGCGAGACCATCTCCAGTGGGTGACCTGTAGGGGGAGA